ATCGCCTGTGGCTTGCCTGGCAGGACCGTCAACTTGAAGAGCAACTTGAAGGTGACAGAATTCACCAACCATGAGTTTCAGCAAGCTCTTTGCAGAGTCTCTCGCGCTTAGAAACCCCGACCTTCAAGTGGTGACGGCTTCAGTCTGGCTTTTTTGGCGACATGGCTGAAGCTGTTCTGTGCGACCTCCAGGGAGGCTGCCTCGTTAGTCTTACAAGTAGTGCCTTGTCAAGCTGCTTCGCCCAAGCGCTCAAAGGGTTGCTTCGGCCCAGCCGGTGGCAAGAAGGCTGCTTCGGCCTAGTAGGTCTTGGCTGCTCCGGCCACACCACTGGTAGAATTTTGACTGCTCCTTCCGCGCCTCGGCATAGCGGAAAAGGGATGTGTAAGGAGAGGGCGAATTGCCTACTCACACCGTAGCTTGGGGACGTCCCCGAGGTGCGTAAGGAGCAGCCGAAAAGAGGACGAAATGAAATTACGGTAAGCGGATTGTTGATTCAAGGCTCTTGCCTACTTTCTGGCTGCTCGCACGGCACTTTGGGGACGTCCCCGAAGTGTGTAAGGAGAGGGCGATTTGACTACTCCTTACGCAACTATGTGACCAATTTACTGTAGGCATTGATTTGCTTACGATAATTTCCCCAATCAGACGAATAAATAATCATATTTCAACGCCAGATCTGGAGGGGATGGGCCCGGTGCCCTCCAACCGGGTGAGATTTTGGATGGAGGCCAGCAGGAAAGCAAAAACAAGCTTCTAGCGCCTTGGAAGGAAGGCGCAAGCAGAAGGGAACAAGAAAGGAGCAGCAGCAGCTGAGGATGAAGATGAAGATGAAGATGAAGAAGGACAACAGGACGAGGACGACGATGAAGGAGACAACCCAATAACTTGGTATGGGATAGCCGTCTGATTGCCTATACTGAAGACCGCCTTGCCTCCAGAAAGCAGCGCGTCAGAAGCGCGGGCACCCTTGCTTGGTCCTCGGCAGCAAGAAATTGACTTTGCCTGCGCGAGCCCGGAAGCATTTGAGGGCAGCATCAATGGCGACCTGCTGCTTGGAGTAGCGTGGCCCAAGTTGGCGGAAGAATGGAGAAAAACGAAACGCTCGGCAAAAAGCATTTGGTGCCAGTGGGCGGCGATGGTGACGATCACGCGTCCAACCGTGCAGCAAACGAGCCCGAACCCATGCGCTACCATTCTTTGCCACTTGCATTTTACGAAGAAATTGCGCATTGCTATTACGCGAAAATAGTGTAGACATGACACCGAGTGATGCCAGATTCGGTTGGGCATGCCTGCGCACGCGCACAGGCTACGTTGGAATCTGCTTCATGGCGCGCTCGCGTGGCTTGGAGAATCGCTTGCTGGAGCTGTTGAAAGAGAACATGGTCGACCCGAACTCTCCTTTGTTCTCGGCTGCCTGCTCTGAAGCAGTTGGCTGGAAGAAAACGCCGTCTCAGGGCCTCTGGCGGTCCTGACCCTAAGGCCAAGCCGCAGCCCAAACCAAAGGGGAGGTGCAGAGGCAGGGGAGGTGCCCCCCCAAAGGCCAAGCCGAAGACCAAGCCCAAGCCAGCGGCAACCGCTCCTGATGATGGCGAAGATGGCGGCCAAGAAGAACCAGAAGAGGAGGAGGACCCCGGTGCAGAGATGACGACCAAGTCTGGGATTCGCTGGAGTGATGGCTGCTTCGGTATGGCTGCTTCAGTCCTGCAGCTTTGGGAGAAAAACCTTCAACCTGTCGCCTACACTGGGCGGGAAAAGTGAGCTGATTGGGAGTGATGCGGTTGCCGGATGTAAGAAAGATATTTCCCATTCTCGTTCTTCAACATGACCGTTCTCGTTCCCAAGGGGTGTTGACAGGGTCACACCCCAGAAACTGCTGAGTACTGGCTACACTCGGATAATAAGGACAGTGTCATTCCATCCCAGGTATAAGCCAGTCTTGGCGGCAAGACTTTCACATTGTGTCTGTCTACTTCGAGTATTATAGCTTCTTACTGGGCAGCAATCCCACATGATAGATATTTCATTGTGGGGCCACGGACACTTCACTGCCCTTGAGTTATTTTGTCTTCTCGTTTTTCAACGTGTTTGCTTGAGCACCGTTCGTGATATACCGGCAACCCACAAACAACAAAAAAATTACAAAAAATTAGACTAAGCACTTCTAAGAAGATCGAAGCCCGCAAAGGTTCGCCAGAGAAAAACGAGCGACAAATCCTCTCCTCCTGGGATATCTCCGCCATATCGACGCCCTGATCATGCCAACGACGCACGCCACCGGAAACCTATGCCAAAAATTAAACACTAGACGACGAATGACCCGAAAGCATTGTACCGCGTGTGACGCACTGTAGCGCTGGCACAGCAGTACACACGCGCGCGCTTTTCCCAAAAGAATCTCCGATGCTTGGGTTCTCGTTTAGTTTAGTCGTTAGTGGGGGGGCAGAGCGAGACGAGGCAAGCGTTTTCGTGGACGGAAGATGGGTGTGGACGGGGCTATGGATGGAGATGGGAGGGTGGACGGGCGTGGACGGGGCTGTGGAAGGAAGATGGATTCTAAGTAGAGCGAAGCGTGGGGGGGCTAACGCTACTCCATGCCTCGTGGAAGAACGTGATTGCGCGAGTGGAACTGTCTGGCGCGGCCTATATGCCGGTCTTGGGTGTCCAGAATGTGTGCAATGTATGCCGGAGACAGCCCAAGTCATTGCAGAAACGGCAGGATGGTTGCATGCCAGAACCGCAATGCTTCAAATTTCATGGTTGGAACGAAGCATGGAGGGAGCTGATGCTGCTCCACGCTTCCTGGAAGGGTTGTTAGAAGCCATGTTGCAATCGTTTTATGACCGTTTTGGAGGGCTTTCAAAATTGACCGAGGGGTGGACGGGGGTGTATATGGCAGACGGGGGTGGACGGACGCGCACCAGAACCGCGATGCTTGAAATATCATGGTTGCCACGAAGCCTGGACAGGGCTGATGCTTCGTTTTGGCCTGCTAATGTGCGTTTGTTTATTTTTCCTGGGTTGCGCGCTTCTTTTTTGTTTTTGGGTCCACGGGCTCACCTTGTTTTTTTTTCTGTATCTTTGTGTTTTTCGTTGAGACAAATTTTTGGTCTTCGAACAAGGAAAACAATTTTGTGTGGCCTCCTTAAGTCAGTCTATAGAGTCTTAGCCTTAGTCTTGGACTTATGTACCGATGTACCGCTACGGAACTGCGAACAATTACCATTCCTGTTGATCCAGAGGTCTGAATGAGCTCCTTCCGACTTGGGGGTGCCTTGGACACCAGGCTTGCAGCTGCCTGCAAACATATGCAGCGATGAAGGAGTACATCAATCATATTCAATCAAAATAACACACGCAGGCTCTACATACCCTCTTCTCAAAAAAGGTCAGATTGATCACATTTTCGCATTACAACGCTTTTGAATTAGAGGGTTCCTGAGTACTATATGAAAAGTCCTGAAGAAGCCATTTCAAACAATCACACAAGTGATTATGTCGCCCGAAATTCGCTTACCCAGCCTCGTCAAAGGAAGTTTAGTGTACAAAACTTCCGTGTTACGGACATCCAACCACTCATCAATACACCACTCATCAATACACCGCTCATCAAACCACTCATCATACACCACACACCACTCATCATACACCACTGCTCATACACCACTCATCATACCACTCATCATGCACCAGTCATCATACACCACTCATCAATACACACCACTTATAAGTTAATTTCGTGGCAACTAGCTGTCAAATCAAAACAACTAGCTGTCAATGATATGAGTGCTCAGCTACCATTGGGCCTTGTTCTTCCAATGGAGTCTGTGGCTTCATGGATGTCTGGTACAATTTTGCTGCGCCAGAGGGCACTTTTTCTTAAATCCTTTTACTCTGGCATGGTGGAATCACTCGAAGTAGTAGCTCATAATTTTGCAAGTCACGTGACATCAAAAAACCAACATGTTTAGCCCAAGGTTTGTGTATGTTGGCACATCAAGAAAGAGGGGGCTGTTGTTCGGCTGAAGGTTCCAAACACAGAAAGTGGGGACAGGAGTTTCAAAACCGTTATTTGCAATATGTACATATGATTATATATTACATTGCGACGTGTTGCGACCGACCCGTTGTCCACGTGTTGTGACCGACCCGTTGTTTCGCGCTAGCAAAAGACCAACAAAACACATGTGTTTTACACAGGAATACAAACAGGCCGATCCCGAAGGCAGCTTGACGCGTGATTTTTTCTGCAAACTACCCCATGTTTATGTCTTCGTGTGTAAGCACACGATTCTCCACGATTCTTCATAGAATCATCTGTACCCAAAAGAGCACTTCTACAGCTCAATGCCCTTCTCACCGGCAGCAAAAGAAGCACGTTCTGCGGAAGCCATCCAGGCACTGTGAGCATCTTTCAAGGATCCACCCGAAGCAGTAAATTTGCGCACCTCTAGAATCTAGGTGCTTGGATGACTTTGGGCACCCGTGGTCAATTGCAAGAACCACAAATACAAAAACATAAACTACAAAAATTCACTGAAACATTGATTGAATTGAACCTAGATTCAAAGTCCCACCGAGCTTTGTGAACCGGGCTGAGCTTCTTCTCAGGTCCGGAAGAAGAAGAAGCTGCGTTCTGATTCGGCTTGGCGGCTGTCTCCTTTTCTTGCTTTGACTCAGCTGAACCTCTCGCAACCTAAGTTAACACAATCACGGGTTTTTGTGCGACCAAGTGAGAAACCACGAGACATTGGCAGGCCAAGCAAGAACCCAACAGACATTGGACTCCAAACCTTTACAAAAACAAACAAGGTAATAAATATCTCAGAAACTCCTTTGGACACAAATTGATGATGCCACACACGTGAGTGTTCCCGCTTGCGTTCACGGCGCGTCTCCTCGATGGCTTTCTTGGTGTTTGGGCTTGTCTCCACAGTGATGCGTTGGAGATGTTGCCGTTTCTTCTTTGGCTCCTGATGTAAGCAGGTCCCCACAGGCATTCACTGCAGGAAAGCAAACAAACTGCCAATGAATGCAAGTGAATGTGCATTCTCCTCCGAGACATTTGCATCATCTGCATGCTTGTCATCAACGGCAGCTTCCTTTTCCAAATGCACTGGTAACCCAACATGAGGCTGGCGTGCACGTTTCTGCTGAAGGTTTGGAGGCGCATCAGCTTTTGCGTTGCCAGATTCCACAAAATTGTCAGGTTCTGCAATTGGAGTCGCTGGCACCACATCCATCACTGCATCCTGCATCGGGCTGAAAATGAACAAGATAGTATTGAACCCTTTTTGCCAACAACAAAGCATCATTGCAAGTCCTGCTTGGGCACAGGTTCATCATTGTTTGCATCTTTGCAGTCAAAAGGTTGCCGACTGTCATCACAGTAGCCATCCAACAAGCGAGTCGTGCTTGTGTCAACCTGCATTTCATTGAGGAACTACAAACAAGAGCATTTTGTCAATTGACTCTTTGAAAGCATAAAAGAAACACACTGAAGAACAATGCCATGGCCTTTGTCCATCGGTTTTTGTTCTTTGATAAAAATGAGTGACGATTGAACAGTCTCCTTTTGGCACTACTGTAACCATGTATACACAGTCCATGTTTCAGCTCCTTGTCGACATCAGCATCCAGCATTGCCTGAGCAATCGTCTGGACCTCTTCTGAAGATGGAGCCTTTGCATTTTCCACTGGGATCTCTGCATCCCAGTCTTCAAAAGAGTCCGCATTGGATCGGAAGAACTTGTAGGGCTGCCGTGCTGGAGGTTCTGACTCGGTGGGTTCTGCAGGAAAAAGGCACCTTTTGGTATGGTCACCTTGTCCAAGAGGTCGCGCAACACGTTGAACTGGCACAGCCTGCAGTGCAGAGGAAATGACCTGCTTCGGAAAATGCAGGATACAGTACGCAAGCCCTCTATCCACAAAAACCAATCCTATTAAATCAGGCAGGAAACCGGAACAGGTTCCGCCTTCAGCATGTACTTCTGTAGGTGTGCACTAGGTTTGAACGCAATGGTGTCCTGCAATTCTGCTGATGGGATAGCGGCAAAGTTCCGGATCAAAGGAGCCTCAGCCTGACGACTTGGTGGGACCTCAGGGTGAGATTCCACAGGTCCTTGTCCTGAGAGCATCCTCATATGTTTTCCAAACAGCATGTCGTCCATTGCTGAGTGACCTGTTTGTTCCTGGTCAATCAGATCAGTAGTCAATGGCATGGTCAGCACGACAAGGAGGCAAGCGCAAGAAAATATGAAAAGACCCTTTGAACCAAAAAGGTGATAAATGAGAGTTGGTAGCCATCATATTACAGCGAGTCAAATAACTTGACCAAATGAGAGTTGGTGGTATTGTTCAACTGCTTGCTACAGTACTGGAACTGTTTTTTGCAGCCATCATTGCACCCTAGCTCCTCTTCTTCATGGAGGCAACGCAAGCATTTGCCTGTGTCAAATGAAAATTCGCTTCGGCGGCTCACAGCTCAAGCTCAAATGATCTGGTAGACCATATTTGGCTCCATGGTCCATCCATTGCCAGCAACAAACCACAAGGGCTTTGCTGGGCCCAATGTCTTCTCACGGGAATAATGACGCATTCCTCAGATGAAGCTTGAGCAAGGCATGAACACAACAGGACCACAAGCAAACATACGAAACATAAGCAAGACCAAGCAGCTCCAAACCATGGTAATGTATTTCGACTTGCGCAGCGTCTTCATGCCAATGTACCCGGCAATGTTCGAAGCCTTGACCGACTTTTCTTGGACCGGGTTTGGCCGGTATACACTGAACGCCTGGTGCTCGACTGTGAAGCCGTCTGATTGCTCTCCCGTTGGACTGCGCTTGGCCTCTGGACCTTGTGGCCAGTCACTGCAAAATCCAAAATGCCGCGCTTCTCGAGGGTCAACATCAAGTTGAACAAGGTTGTTGGCGCCGAATCCTGCGCAGGTTGGCCTTGAGCTTGTTCCTCGAGGACTACCTGAAAAAGTAAAAGACCAGGACTTGAACCTTGAACAAGAAAACCCATCAACTCAAGTGCAAATCTTGAATTCAATCGCCTTGTCTTCATTGGTCGGCTTGCTCAAGTAATCCTTCGCCTGCAGGGATTGGGTGGTGACTCAAAAAAACTGTGTAGCTGTTGTCTAAATGGTATCAGCTGTTGTCAAAAAACTGTGTAGCTGTTGACTCAAAAAACACAAGTGCTGCCTTGGCGTTGTCTGAGATCCATGTTCCTCCAGCATAGCACAGCAGCGGTTTCGGGTTGTTGGCATTCACGCCAACCAGTCGGAATTTCGCTGCTGTGGTCAAGAACAGCTGGCCACCCTCGACACAATGAAGAACAACATTCTGTCCCATATTTAAGGTGACACTGATCTTGATCTCTGGGAATTTCTGCTTGAACTCTTCGGCAGTCATTTTTGGTGGCGCATCCTCCACTTCAGTCGCTGTCGCATTCTCCACTGCAGGTTTCCCCAAATCCACCTCTTCTGATCCACGTGGTGGATTTGGCGGGGGGAGCAGCTCCAGCAGTGGTCGGCTCAAAGACGGCGTCAAAGTTCTTCAATCTGGTCCGCCAATCCGGGTCTAAGCAGTCTCAAAGACATGAGTTGACCGGCAACACAGATTATATACAAACATCAATAAGAAACAAACATCAAGGCCAAGATGCTGTGAATCGGATCTGCCAGCCACTTCTTGCGAACAGCTTCTGGGATTTGCAAGTGCCCGTCAGCTGACATTGCGCGCAACTTCAAGGTTGGCCTTGTTGGTGTTGTGATCTCTGTGACATCTGGCTCAGCACCAAATTTGGGCGTCGTGTTAGCCATGTGACCACGGGCATTCTTCCAGTCCTGCAACAAATCAAATGCAAATCATTTCACAAATTGGGACAATGCGAAATTGTGACAATGAGGGATTGACAATAAGGTCCTCGAGCAGTCTGTCTTTGAGCTGCGTGGAAGCGTAAGCAAGTGGGCAGGATTTTGCGTTTCACTGTACGCAGCCAAGTAGGCGCTCTCCTGAAGCTCCAGCATCACATCAAGTGCCACCTGCAAGGTACTGTGTGGCACACGCTTCCACAACATGTCAAAAATTCACATTGTTACCACAAATGGTTTCACTATCCACACCCAGCCTTGTCAAAGGTACCTTCATAAAGGGTGCAATGGTGAATAACGCCAGCTTGGCCTTTCAATGAGGACATCTTGGTCAGGCATCCCTCGAGGATTGCTTTGCATGTCGAAAGTGAAGCCAACCATTGTGATGTCTCCTCCTTGTCCTTGCACAAGCTGAAAAACACACGCCAACATGTAAAAAGACAACTATATACAAGAATCCGATGAAAACAATAAATGTCAGAATTTAATTTGCGATGAAGCTTGCAGCTGTGCATCGGTCAATGACCTTCCCTGCTCGTGGCTGAAGAAAGTCCCGCTTTCAGGGGTAACGTACTCGCCTTGAGGGTTTGAAGAAACACGACAATCTCACAGTTTATCTTTAGTGATCTAATCTATTCATTCAGGCTAGTTGCTGGTTGGAAGTGGAGTGGATGGCTTCGTAGTCACTGAATTCCAGAGATCACACTTTGCAAACACATTGCTGTCTTTCACATCCATGTCTGATCCCCGGGGCGCTCTGAAGAGTGTTCCTTGTTTGGAACCCGATGTTGTCTCCAGGACGCACAGCCATGCAGGCAAAGTGGCAGGCAGGACCCTTCAGGGTTGATATTTCCCAAACAACATCAAACCACACTTTTGAGGAAGTAATGTGCTCACAATAGCATCAACCAATCAGTCCTGTTTCCATGCTGGGCCTTCAAGTCCAGGGTGATTTGCACGTTCTTCATTTCAATTCCCATGGAAATCATTTTATCTTCCACTCGGCGATGTTCACCACGGAGCCCGCCCAAAACGCCAGTTCCCGGAAGGATTGGGCAGATGACCAGCACCATGCCTTCAGCGACTCTGAAACAGGTTGAAACATACATTGCAGCCCATTGTCAATGACAAGCCACTGTAATCGTCATTGATTTGCAGTACTCGCTTGGTCCATTTCGCGACCTCGTCAATCTCCACTGCAGACAATCGCCCAAACTTGGTCACGTCGACAAAACCCAAGTTGTGCAACTTACTGATGTCTGCTCCTTCGAATTTCTGCGCAGCATCCGACATCACACGGCGCTGGAAGGCTCCTAGAGCCTGCTGTTTGTCGTTGTTTGCAACCATCAGGCACCGCCGTTCCATGAAGCGTTCACAAACACGAAGGCCAATATCTATTTGGTCACGCAAGTGAATGACCTTTGCTCTCCAAGCAGCAACCCTTTTGGACTATTTCAGGCGTTTTTTCATAGATTTCAGCCAAAGTGCTTTTGCGACATGTTTTGCCCCATCAGCCTACAAGCTGAATGGCAAGGTAGCATGAGTGGGAGGTGACACAGGTAGCATCTAGCTGAAACTTGCCTTGGTGCGCTTCAGGTTGAAGTTCACAGCTTCTTTGTAGTCGGACGCCAAACTGGTAATGCACACATCATATTCAGCATTTCGGAGCCGTTCCTGTCAGGGATTGGATTGATCATCAATTTCACCAACCTCGAAAACTTCAACAACTTTCCAGTCTCATAGCCTCTGCGTCCTCAACTTCTGTGCTCATATCTTTACTGGCAGCAGTGGCGGACTTCTTGAGGATTTGTTTGCCGACACAATCCTGCCACATAGATGTCATTTCCGGTGTCAACTTCGGTTTTCCAAGGAGAAGGGCGTCCAAATCTTGGTTGTAGTCCCTTGGATCCAGGAAGTTGCTTTGCAGCCAGGGTATCTTTGAACAAATGAGCAACTAGGAAAATTTGCCAAGGCTCCCGTTCATAAAAGCAGCAGTCATGTTCATCAGCATCTCATCTGTGACCTTGGCAATTGTCCAAATCACACAAATTTATATGTTAAGATCTAAACGGTCACACGGCAGCAACAATAAACTGCAATAAATCAACTGCGGGCAAAATGCATCTGGATTGGGTTTGCAAGCATCGAGCGCCCATGTCACAACGCAACACCTGTCAATATGACGATTCCAGACCTCTTCGCTCCATCTGAGTCTGTTCCTCATCGTGCGCTTCACCTTTCTTGCATTGAGCCCCCACCAATAATTGTAAACAGTAAAGGCCATAATCTGGGAGTCCTCTGAAACCTCAGCCGGTCATAACAAACAAGGTTTTAGGAAGGACAAGAACTGCAAATCCCCTGAGCAGCAAAATGTGTAAGGTATTTCAATTGCAGGTAGGTAGCCGTCAAAATCCGCTGCCAATCTGCTGAAACGTTCTTTGGTGACTCATTCAACCGATGTCGTCTTGAACGAAGCAATGACTCATTGTAGCCTCAAGTGCTTCCAGTCATTCTCCAACAACAAGTGCTGTCAAACCAACACATGACACCACCAGGCCAAGTAGCCGGACTCCTCCCACTTTTCAAAGTCCAAGTGCACACGGATCAGGTCACGTGCATCTTGACACATCCCTGTCACTATATTCGAGATCGCTTGCAACTGGTCTCCGGACAGCTGCCACCGCTTTATAGCGGTATTTGCTCTGTAGGAGTTGTAACGATCCACAATTTGCTTCAGAAGCTCTCCATCATTGAGCCCATCATTTTCTGGAAGACAGCGCTGCTCTTTAAGCAAGATTTCAAACCTGAGGCTGAGTTTCATGATCTCAGCGGTTGAACAAAGCCAACAAGTTTCTGGTCTGTGTGAGTGTGTTTGTGCGTGTGTGTCACTCACCAAATGTCTGAAGCAATTGAGACTCCCACGTCTTTTCGTTGTCGCTCGGCACCCTGTGTTGACAATTGAATGCTTTCAAATGAGAGCTGCTCATGATCAGTGGCTGCACTGATGCAGACTGGAAGGTTGAAGATCCCTTCAAAGGAGTGTAACAAAGGCAGCACCAGGTCCTGTGCAGCAACATGCTGGCAGAGTAGACACTTGCGCGGCAACACAAAGCTCCTTAGCGCTGATAGGATCCAGATCACTTGCAATCAACAGCAGCAACAGGCAAGATGTCCTTGGAAGGAAAGAACACAATTCCTTTCAAGACTGAGTGCTGAATCAAAGATGAGATGATTAAAGTGTTTGAGTCGAGTTGCAATCGAGTGAACCCCTTCTTCACCCCAAGCTTTGGTGGTTCACTGTCATGAGATGGAATCACATACAAGTCGATCGGCTCTCGGTAGAGCCGTGATCCATTGAATATGAAGGAAAGGCAGGTCGTCTGGAAATCTGCAATGCATGGGAGCCCATCATCAGGCTTCGCGATCACAATTGCTTCCAGTGGAACTTGAGTAGATACGGATTCTCCTCCCAATTTGGAAAGATCCTGTAGGAAATTAGCACGTCTCAACAGAGAGAACACATTGGCCACAACAGGAAAGGACACCTTTGACTTACAACAAAAGGCGTGGACATGAGAGATCTCTGTCAAGCTACTGGCATGGGAGCGTGCACCAACTTCTTGCCGTGAATGGTCATCGCCTCCGTCAGAAAGTTGAACATTTTCTCCACGCTCAGCTTGCTGCGCTCGGGATCCTTGAAGGCATCCATGACCATGTCGCAGGGGTGCACCCTAGAAGTTGTCGTTGTATTGTCTGTGTTTTCATTAAACATGGCCAGGTAGTCAAGTATGTCTTCACAGAAAATTCAGGTGAACGCTGGCTTTCTTGGACTTAGTTCCACATTGCTGCAATGCAAACTTCTCAAAACAAACAGAACTGGTCCTTGGCCAGAGATGTATCACCTGGAAGCTTGTTCAGGCCAGCCTGCCACTCGGATTTGCGCCTTTTCGATGAAGATGGTTCAGCCTCCTTTTTCACCTCACATGAGGAGACAAAACCAGTAGACACAAATCAGTAGACAAAACTCTTTGTTAAAAATCAGTAGACAAAACCACCGCAGATGCCACGTAAGCAAACATAAGGAGAAGTGCTGTCGTCTCTTCCTTCTTGATTGCCGTCCCCTCGGGTTTTGTCCTTACTGGCGTTTCTTGCCCAGGCTTTGCCATAAGTGCAGCTGTCACTGCCGCAACTCCTGATCTGAGCAACGGTGATTCCATCAGCCCAAGCTAGGAGGCCGAGAAAAGAGCACTTCACACCAAAATTTCAAAAAATGGCACGCAAGTGAAATTCCTCAACTCGTTACCTTTGCGTTTGTAATGGTGCCAACTAGAATTTGGTGCTGTGATTGAGCCAAATTTGGATTCAACTGTAATGTTCAGGTCCATTGACTCAACTCAACAAAATTCAAACCGGAGACTCAACTTGAACCGGGATCATCTTAAATTGTCGTCATTCAGCCCGGGGATCATCGTAAATCGTCGTCATTCAGCCCCGGGATCATCGTAAGTCGGCGTTGTTCTGCCCCCAAACGACAACGAAATAAGATGATCCCGTATTTCCTGACTACATCAACTTGATCAGACCCACACCGATTTTGTTGGCGTAAAGCGGTTATCAAAATCGGCGTGGGTCTGATTGTTTTGACGTGTCGACGTGTCTTGAATCAATTGCTGGCTGCGCAAACCTCTTGAAACTGTACTGCTCACTATTCTTTTCCATCGGGTGGTGATTGAGCCTTTTGGCTCCACTCGCGCTGGCAGTCGGCAAGCCACCTTAGAGAGCTCATTTGGACCAAGTCAAAAACAAGGTGTGGATAGGTGTGTGGCTTTGCACTATACACTCAGAAAAAGAATAAACTTGAAGCAAACTCCAGATCTCAGTGCTTTTGTTTTTTCCAAACTGCTACTTTGCACCATGTCAGTATCTGCTTTGCAGATGGTGCTTGTTTTTCCTTCAGCATGCTTTGCATGTGATTCTCTCTCTCTCTCGTCACTGATACCCTCTTCGCCACGCAACACGTAGTGGCACAGAGGGGCATAGCACTGCCAAAACGCATTCATGTGGCTCCTTCCCGCTCCCCAGCTACTCCGCGTACTACTCTCGCACTACCACGTCGCCAGTTCTCCGCTTCCAGCTCCCCAGCTACTCTGCGTACTAGAGTTGCGTACCAAATCGCACTCTCCTCTGCATTTCGCGCCCTCGACACGCACGATCTCCGCA